TTTGGCAGCTTATTTTTCTTCCCAAATAACACTAGTTGCAAAAGATTCTTCATAGTGAAAAATCTTTTTTTTTTTTTTTTTTAAACAAGCTTTGATCTTGCAGTACTGACAGAACTAGGGAAATATTTAACAAAACTACTTTTACTTCAGTGACCAAACTATGTAACAAAATGCCTAAGCTCAGTAAACATTCTGAATAACTTCAAACATCAGAGCACCTGTTTGAAACAGTTGTTGGTGTCTGCCCCTGGGTCGCTCATCATCTGAATTAATCTCTGCTCACTGCACAGACAACAGGAATGCTGCATGTTTCTATTTTTGAGCAAAGTTGTACGCTGTTTTTCTTGACGTGGTAGAACAGCCTCTCTAAACAATACTTTGCAGATACCATAGCAACATTATTAAAAAACTGGAAGTGGGAAATACCCTATCAAAGCCAATAACAGGAAAACCTACCAGGTGGTGCACCACGAACAAGGGGAACCCTATTACTCCAAGGCTCTTTACAGCGACTCTGCCAAGCACTGCACTTGGCCATGTCAGGAATTTAGTTGGTAACTTTTTATTAAGAACTCTGAATATTCAATCTAAAGAACTCAGCCTAGATCATGCACAGAAACAGAGTGCTAGTGAAAGAAGATTTTGTTGTGAAGAAAATTAACACAGAAATTAACTATTTTGATAAAAACCTGCAACTATTATTCACCTAGAAAGCTGTGACCACTTCAGCAAATCAGAATGGAGACGAACTGACACAACCTCAGAAGATTAGTTATTGCTCTAGCCTAATCCAATTAGGTGTGTTTCCTAGTTTTACTCAAATGAAAACCATAACACTTTTCCACCAACTCCTGCAAAGGAAACAGCAGTAAGAGGAGACTTATATTCAGCACCACAAATAATAAAACTGCCACATAATAAAAAGATGGCATTTAAACATTACATTTTAGGAAAAAAAAAGTTTTAAAAACTAATTTAAACATTCTAAATTATCTGCTATCCATCGATCAAAAGCCCTTGCATTTTATTCTACCATTTCACAATTCAGTCAGTATGGCATGATGAAAGAAATTAAGCAGCTTAGTGAAAAATGGAAGTGAACCAACGCTATCTTACAGATTGAAACACAAACTCCAATGGACATGTTTTGAGAATGAAGGATTTAAATATTACAGTAACACCTATCATTTATCAAAAGCTTAAATAGAAACAGAACACACTAGTTTATATTGTGCACCACAAGAAAACATGAAGCTATATTTTGTTAAATGGAACAAGAACAGCTCTTCTAGGCTATTTCAGTGCATTTTCTTCACCTCCTTCCAATATCCAAAAGATGCACTAATAGGTTCTCTTCTTTGATACTACAGAAGCAGAGAAAGTGGGGAAGCAGTGCCTTCTTTCATTTGACTGGGATTTTAACACAATTCACAAATCTTCTCTGAATTTTTAGAGAACATACAAAATAGCATGCAATCAACAAAGCAGTTACGGTTTTGTGCTTAAGCAGTGTACCTAAAGCCTAAGTGTGTATCCTGTTTTTAAGTACTGTACATTGTCTTGATGTAAAAGTGTTAGAAAGTTCAACCTTTCCATGTGGAATTCAGGAAAGGGGGGAGGAGAGGATGACAATCAAGTCATTCTGTGCAGATGTTGTACCAGGTCAATCAGATATTAGGATAAGCGTTAATCACACCTCAATAAAAAGCAGCAACTGAAAACCATATGGACCATGAGAGAAGCCAGAGTCCAACACAGCTTCTCTTCAATCTGGTTTTGGAACAAACAGAACAGAAACAGACCAACCTGCCTAAAATAAAAAAACATAAAAAATGTCATCTGAAGCACCAAAATGGAAGATTCTGAGACACATTAGAGAGCAGATGGAAATTTGTTAATCAAGTAGCAATAAATATATATAAAAGCCCAGATTAATTCCTGAGTAATACATGATATTGGAACTAGAGCTACCAAAGCTACAGTTAGGCCTCCGAAGGAACACCTACAAAAACTCAGTTCAAGGGAGTAAAATTATGTCAACATCTTAACCAGGGCTGAAAGACATTTAGCATTCAGACTTCATAGTTAGTAAAATTAACGAGTAAAGTATGGTCTTAGATGTTGAGACATTAATTTAACTAGAATTAAGGAAAATAAGTTACTCTTTAAAAAGACTAAAAGAACAGAGAATAGTTGACACTGATTCTCCAAAGACAGGCTAATAAATTAAACCAAACAAAAAAAACCTTGATGATTTCATTTTTCCTTTACTGCTTACAAGATAGTTTTATAATTATTTGTTACGTAAGGTTTGATACCAAAATGTATATGTGATAGCAAGATCCTCTTTTCAGTACCTTGAAAAAACAGTCAAAATTTGCAGCCATGTTTGCAATCACAGTCAGCTCACCATCATCTCTAAAATTTGGCAGCAATCTGTTTTATCCAAGTGTAGGGTTAATTCCCGCCTTCCTCAGGGCAACTCTCAAAATACAGCGATAAATTAACACTTGCTAAGTATCACTGGTACTTCACAAGCACAATTTACACACACACACAAAAAAAATCTCAGACTTCCAACATTCTAATGATTCATTTCTCCTGCCAGGTGCAACGTCTGGTGGATTCAGAAGAGCAAAAGCTTTCCGCAGAACTTCGCACAGATGACTAAATGCTTTTGATAGCATAGGGAACCTCTCCTATTTTAAGACTTCACTTTTACCTTTGCATTACCGCTCACTACCATACGATTTGGACCAAATGTTAGGAATTTGCATTAAGAATGAAAGCATACACAAACTCTTGGAAGCTACCAACGAACTACTGCAGAAGAAATGGTATAATATGATGTTACCTCAAGAGGCAGACTTGTATTTTCATAGCTGAGTATTTCGCTTAATTGTGAACCACCTGGACTTATTAAAAAGGGCTAAGAAACCATCAGTCTCAAAAGTTGACACTACTGCTTAGAGAATTCATCAGCAGAAAGACTATTGTTTTGGCTCATACCTGTTTGCAGACAGTCACATGTTAATACACAGAATCGATTAACTTTTTTTTTTAAGCTGACATTTTACAGTAACCAATTTCTCTACTGGGCACCTAAAATACTGTAGTATTTCCTTTGGCTCCCAAAAATCTAACCAATGACAACACAACTACTCTATCAGTACTCTGAAGGTAGCACCAAGATGTGGGATTTACAAACATGGCAAAGTAAGAGCTGGCAAATTTCAACCCCTCAAATTACGAAGGAAAACAGAACCTAGATCTTGTATAAACCACAGAAGGCACTCTAGTATTAGACTACAAACTTCCTTCTGTCACACTTTAACAGAAGGAGCCCCATCCTTTCAGAGCAATTTGGGCACGTGTTGGCATCACCTACTGGGTCAGGCCTCTGACGACTTAAGGGAAGGAATCTCTTGTTTCTGGATCTACATAGATCTTAAATACGTACTAAATGCCTGTCAAGACAGGAGCACACCCAGGCCGATGTGAAAGCACTTTTTCAGAGCTCTGGAAGGCTTTAATGCAAAAATATCACCAACTAAACATTAAGTGAAACAGGTGGAAAACACATCAACTGCAGGACAAACATTAATTAGGCTTGGCGTAGACACAGCACTTCTCCTCCCTTAAACTTTATTTACATCATCCATATGCGTAAAAGCAGCATTAAATAATTTATTCTGCATACAGCATATTAAAGTTATTTCTTTACACAAAACTATACTATTCATATTCAAGCAATTTTTTTTTTTTTTGAGAGAGTCCTGAAAAATGAGCCTAGAATTTGGTTTGCTCACCAAACAGACAGAACACATGTTACAAAAGGGTAAGTTCCCCCTACACCTTTCTCCCCCGCGCTCTTAACTTGACTTGGGCAGACCAATATTGAAAGCCGTTTCGACTCCACGACTGAACAATCCCCAGATCCTTGAAAAGCCAATTATCTAAATTAGTAACAACTCCTGCCACTATTTTTGAAACTGGCACGTATCCCTAAGATTGACATTAAATACTCATTTCACGTAAGCCAAGTTCATCTACACAACCCCAGAGCCAAGAACAGAAAATGTTCATTGTTCTTTTCTCTTGCCTCACTGCAACAATTCAAGCTTTTTAAAGCTCGTTCTTTCAGGATATGTTCTGCAAGGTCCTACTTTAACAACCACTTATGCAACAGCAAAAGCAGCTCATGGTTTCTGAGGACAGAAGCAGCAAAGGAGGCCCCGGGATGGCAATCAGCCATACCAAGGAGCCAGAGGCAGCAGCTCTGCTCAGGATTTCCTAGAAGCCAAGGGCTACCTGTTCCTACTGGCCATGCCGCCTTGCCAGAGCCTTCTCATTGCTGCTCCATCCCTTTGGGTGCCACGTACTTCAGCATCTCCTACTGGCAGAATCCCCAGCTCTACTTCCACCTGTCAACGCTTTTTCCTTCCACCCCGCCACCCTACCCAACTTGATAACAGCTGTTTGGTTGCCAAAAGAGAAAGACGTCTGTGTCGCACAAGCTTGCGCGAAATCCCAGACGCATCACAGAACACCAGCAGCTTCTTGGTAAGCACTAGCCCTGGCTGCTGCCAAGTTCAGTCAAAGCTTTGGCTCAGCTGGGTCACCTCTAAGCATAGGCAGTGGTGGGCAAATCTCAAACAAGTTTTTTTTGCACCCCACAAGCTCAAACCGCAGCCAATGCAGTATCTCCTGCTCAAGACGGAGATTTGCAATGGTGAAGCAACGGCTAACATGTAATACAGCTGAATAAACTAAATCTAGAAGCAGCCCAAGGATGAAGGATTGCACATCCTTTTAACAAATGAAGCCATCCAGCAAATCACATTGCAGCTGTTGACGGAACATCTGGCGGGGCCATCGGAATAACTCAAGCCATCCACAAACCCTTCCCCTCCTCCTCCCAGCAGGTTAACTGCGCAGACATCGGACTTACTAGGATTAAACGGAGATAAAGAAATACCTTGTCCCCAATATCCATTTACCTTGTCCTGAGGGCCTGCCAGGCTGCATCAATGTCTGCGTACAGGTTTTTCTCGGAGGGCTTGCCGGTGCTCACCCCGTAGCCAGAGTAGTCATAAGAGAAGACGTTGCAGTTGATGCGGGAGCCAAGGCCAATGTAGAAGCTGCACATCTGGCCCAGGTCCACAGCATTGCCATGCGAGAAGAGCAGGGTGTA